CGTGCCGTGCCGTGCCGTGCCGTGCCGTGCCGTGCCGTGCCGTGCCGGTGGGACCATGCCGTCCTACACCGTCACCGTGGCTACGGGCAGCCAGTGGTTCGCGGGCACCGACGACTATGTGTACCTGAGCCTGGAGGGCACTGCGGGCTGCAGCGAGAGGCACCTCCTGGACAAACCCTTCTACAACGACTTCGAGCGCGGCGCGGTGAGTGCCCGCACAGCCCCGGCTCAGCCGGCAGTGCCCGTCCCGCTGCTGCCGGGCTGGGGGTGGGCATCGGGGCAGGCGAGCCGGGGCTCGGAGCTCTCTATCGCAACTTTAAATGGTAGCTGCAAAACAGTACCAGGCACAGGGCTGGGCTGGCGCTGGGCTGTCAGAGGGGCTGCTCGGGCTCACCCTGTCGCGTGCACTGAGCTGTGCCCAGCTGCCATCTCCTATACGCCGACCATCCCTTCAGTATGGATCTCATTTGTTTATTGTCCGACTTCAAAATAATGGACTCTTGATTATATATTTTTTTTAACGTGTACTTTATTTGTAGCCTACTCACAGCTCCCAGGAGATCTAAGGAGATTTAAGAGACTTGAAAAGTTTTTTATAAGTGCCCTTAACTGATTCTATGATACTATGATTGAACTCGCTTTGGAGATGAGCCCCACCACTGTGCATACAAATTTGGCCCCACCATCACAGTGCTGCCTTGCCTGTAGGTACATTTTTACCCATGGGGTGCACAGCCTGCGCCAGCTATCCATCCTTCCTTGTTTGGGCACCTCAGGTATGACTTGCAGATGACAGCATTTTAAGTTAGTGTTGATGATGTGTGCAGATATGGCCCCCAAATATGTGTGGATAAACATCCCAGGAAAAGAAATTTCAGAGGTGTGGGTTCCTCCCTGTTGCTGCTGTTGAAATTACTTTCTTTCATGAGTAAGCATTCATTGCAGAGATCTTGTTACCCTTGATCTCCCCAGTGGGCATCCACTCCTTCTTTGTAGAATCACAGAATAGCTTAAGTTGGAAGGGACCTTAAAGATCATCAAGCTCCAGCCCCCCTCTTCTTATTTTATCTGGAGAATATAAACAAAGCCTAACAACATTAGTGAGAGTGATGGAAGAAAACCTCAGAGTGTTCTGCATGCTCAGGTTGAGGCTGTGCTCCTAAGAGGACTGGGCCCTGCTTGGCTCCAGATTTCCAGTGCCTGGGCACCCTTCTCCCATCATCAGGCTGCAAATGGGGGTCCAGGAGTGCTGGGCTCTTCTGGGTGAAAGTGGGAGGAGTCAAGCTTCGTGTAGCACAGCAGCCCTGCAGCAGGCAGTATGTGCACCTGGAAGCACATACTCCTTAGGAATGCAGCTTCTAGGTGGATTTGAAAGTCTTTACCTGTATGAATAGCTTGCCCAACATTCCATACAAAATGTATTGTTAGGTAAGCAAGTTGAGACAGGGACAGTCTCTTTTTTCTCTTTTTTGCCAAACTTCTTTCCAGGTGCAAAAGTCCACTAAAAGGTGACTAATTCTTGACTTTATCTACTATCCAAATTATTTCCATATCAGTCCTCCCGTATTGTGTTCTGTAAGATGGCTGCTTCACAGGATGCTTGATGTGCATTGTGCTGCTGCAGGCAGTGTTTCTTTGGGCACTGCCGTGCATTCCTCCAAGCACCTGTTCAGGTAACACTGTGCCCAGAACACCATGAGTCTCACTGATACACCTTGCAAAGAAGGAAAGAGAAGAAAAGTAGTGATATGGAACAAAAAGTAAACCAGCAAACAATACTGAAGCACACTGTAAGACTTTCAGGTTGGTTGCTTTGTAAAATGTGACAGTTGAAGCCAGTTCTGCCTCTGCCATTTCGGTAACATCCCTACAATTTTCTTTTTCTTCCAATAATTACTGTGTGATCACATTTGAAAAATAACAATAATAATAAAGCATTTTTTTCACTGATAACCAGAATTCCAGAGTACTATCTTGTAAAGCTTTATCACTTTCCAGTTTCTTTACTAAACGGTGGGCCAGTCTCAGTGGTGCCATTATCCTGAGAATGGCTTCATCTGAATTAATGCAAACAGTGAGTTTTTATAGATATGCTGGATGAGGTCTCCAACCAGCTCTGAGCAGATCTGCGTGCCAAATGTTGATAGAAGGGAAGGGATGAGGGAAAACCAGAAGGAGCTTTCATAATGGCAGTGTACTTTTAGTTTCAGTCTGACTTACTCCAAGCACTGGACATGGGCAGTTTAGAAAGCTGGAGCTGCTTTTCTTCACTCACTATCTTTTGAGTAAGTTCCTGTTGGTGCAAAGCAATTTCAATGTGAGTGCGTGGTGTCCCCCAGTTCTCTGTCTGCTTCCTGTTACCCTTCCATCTGCTTTTTGCTGAAACGCACTCAGCAGTATTTCCAGAAGGAAAACAGTTGTGTGTGGCTTTGGGCTTTGTGTGTGCAGTGTGCTGGTTTGCTGCTTCTTTTGCAGCACCAGGCTTGTCAGCAAGAGGTGCTTCTCTGCCAGAAAGAGCTTGCAATTTTGCAGAAGGGTAAATCGCTCAGACGGGATGCTAAGGGACTTTGGACAGTCTTACGGCCTTCATTCACCCTGTTCTCTCTCCCTGAAGCCAATTGTTTAAAAACTCCCAGCTCCTATGGTTTACTGCGCAGACACTGTGGTGCAATGTAGTTTAACAGGGTACCTCATAACACAAATGAAACAAAACCATTGAGAAACAACAAAAAAATAACCTGCTTCTTTGAACCTTGCACCGTCTGCACAGCTTGCCACACCTTTACTGCACCTTCATTGCATCAAATCCTAGATATATTTATGTAAGTTTGTGTAAAGTAAGGTTTTGTAAATTACAGAAACAATATAAGTAGTTATGTGTAAATGAGGATTTTTATTTTTAATGGAAGCTAGCTGAACATTTGAAGAAGAGAAATATTAAAATATAGTCAGGCATGTTGGGCAAGTTCACAGATTACGTCCTACAGTCACTGTCTACCACAGTGGAGGCTCACAGCACTACTGTGGTGAGCTCTCTGAAAAGCCAGTCAGTGTTTTTTCAGTCTCCAGAGCTGATTCAAACTTTTAAAACACCAAGGGAATGAATTTACGTGTGTACATCATCCTTCTAGCTGTTCTGGGACAGTGTGAGTGAAGGGGGTGGGGGCTGAAAATTCAGCAGCATAAACTCTCAAAATGAGTGTATATAATGGCTCTACCGAAAGAACTACTTCTGTTCTGCTTGGATATGCAAGGAAAAGTCAGAGACACCATTTTAATATGTCAGTTGAAATCTCAACTATGCGATTTTCATCTCCCAGCTCCTGCCTGTCAGGCAGATGCTGTCATGCCAGTCTTGCCAAGAACAGCCATGCTGTTTGGTGCAGCACAGTTCCTTCATGTGCTACCACCTTGTATGGATAGGTATGCTGCTGACATCAAGATTGCAAATTCTGTTTTAAGACTGGATGAGTCTCCTATTTGATGGAAAATGTTCAATGGCTTTGGTTTTAGTAGGAAAGTGTGTAGGAAAGAATATGGCTCTGACTGAGATTAGTCTGTTAAGTCTCTGAATCAAAGTAAGTGACGCCAAGATTGATTTTAAATATTTGACTTTAAGTGAAGTTAGGGTGAACATTAGAAGAAATCCCTTTGTCTTTGTTGATATGAAGCAGCCTCATCGGAGATGCAGTTTATCAATCATAGCCTGAACAGTTTCTAAGTTGATTGACGAACATCATGGGGAAAGATGGGCAAAGGCCAGGTTTTGTTATCTGTAGCATGGATTTCAAAGCTTTTCTTTGTTTCTTTTTTCTTTTTTCTCTCACTTGTATGAGTCAATTAGATGAGCCATGAAAGGTGGTAGTTTCAGGTGGTGGAGTATGAGAGAACTGAGGTCTGTCATCTCAAACTTTGGTGGACATACAGATGCTTTCATCCTAAAATGATCATCACAGCTAGTAATTCATGCATAGCTTGTAGAAAGGGTCCCGCAGACACTGAAGCATGTAGTGGATATATACAGCATATAGTGGAAGTGAATCTCACCCTTTGAGTATCAGCAGCTAGTTAGTATTTCTAAGGTTGTTTGTGCTGAGAAAAACCACAAGAGAATACAGTCTCTTCTTGTAAACACCTTATGCTGAGCAGGGTCATCTGAGCAGGCAGGCTGTGGCTGCTGCTCTCAGGATTTCTGTGGCAGTTCAGCTTTTACAATGAGCGCTTGACTGCTCTCCTTTGCCCTGAACTGTTCACATTGTTGGAAATTGAGAATCAGTTTCCATTCTCCTGAGTTGCTTAGCACTACACATAGCCTTACTGGCCCTGTGCAAAATGATTATTCATTTCTTTCTGTTCTGATATTACCTAGTAGTGCAATTACCACCAAAACTGCAGTGTGCTCAGTGCTGTTCCTGCATGCAGCAGGAGATCACACAGGTGGCACAAAGGTTAACCCCAGCCTTGTGAGGGGGCTGACATATCCGTCATTGAGTCAAGAGTTCACCATCCAGTGCGTTAACCTGTGATTATCCTTCTGGTGCAGCAGTGTGAATAGGTTTGCTGAATCAACACCTCTTTATGGCCTATTGCAGTAGCAAAAGCTATCATGGTCTGCAGATTTTTCTCAGACTTGCAAACATTTCAAGGGGTGTTACTATCTTTGGATTAGGTGCAAAATGTTTCCCCACTTTTGGTGTGCTTTACATGGTCTTATTTATTTCATTCACCTTTCATTTCTACTGCAAACATATAATCCACTTATGACCTTATCCTTCCCCTTGTCCTTGTCCTTCTCCCTCACTGGAACCAGGAAAGTACTGTTGCTGCCATGCCGTACTGGCCACAAGGAAGGCCAGGTGTGCTTGTACAGTCCTGGCTTTGCTTTCCACATGTGCAGTGTATCACTGACTATTTCTGCTCTGTAGGTTGACTCCTATGACGTGACGGTGGAAGAAGACCTTGGAGAAATTCAGCTAATTAAAATTGAGAAACGAAAATATTGGTACCAAGATGACTGGTACCTTAAGCACGTCACTGTCAAAACACCACTGGGCGATCATCTGGAATTCCCATGTTACCGTTGGATTACAGATGAGAAAGAAGTTGTCCTTCGAGATGGAAGAGGTGAGCACCATGAGAAACATCCTGTGCAGCAGCCAGAATTCTCCCACCTTTCCTTCCCCTTTCCCTGTATACATCCCAGACTTCCATGACCTTTGCACGGCATTCAGAATATGGTCAGATAAAGGAAAAAAGCAAGTGAAACCCTGTTGGTACCGTAAACACAGCCAGCTGGAAACTGTTAGCAGTATATATATATACATATATATATATATATGTATGTATATATTATTGGTTGTATTACCTCCAGTATTTCCAACCCAAAATAGCTATTCCCATAAAACTCCTGCTGGCTTTATCTGCCTTTCCATTTGCCTATGTAAAGCAAGTCATGTACCTTGTGCTTTCTCTTCATCACTAAGGAAGTCTCTGTTATTTAGCAGTATGGTGTGTACAATGGTCAGAAATGCAAGTTGTCTGGAATTGAAGCCTCACTGGGTTTTCTTTCTGTTCTCATGGCAGGAAAATGTTTTTATTGCCTCAGGCTGGCAGGGGAGAGTACAGCTCAAAGAAAGAGGATGGGAGAAATTTCCTAGTGTTGTAGTTTAACTTACAACATTGTCCAAGGCAATATTATTATTTCTTTGATTGATGAAAATTCTTCTAGATGCTGAAATATGAAATTAAGTCCCATGACCCTACTGAGGCTATCTAAACCAAGTATCTTCCTTAGGAACTCAGGTTTTCTGTAGAGATGAGATAGTTGCTCTTAGCTTAACCAATTTAGGCACCACATTAGGAGCTGAAGGTACTAAACTGGATTGTGTGAGCTTTTCCCACAGAAATTTTGTAAAGGTTTAGGACAGAAGTTGGAAGGCTTTGAAACACCGGTTTCCTTCTCAAGACCTGGGTGATGATAAAGGAACCTGATAACCCTGTTTCTTTCTTTCTCCCATACATAGCAAAGCTCCCCCGGGATGACAAGACCCAGATACTCAAGCAGCACAGACGCAAAGAGCTTGAGGATCGTCAGAAAATGTACCGGTGAGTCCCTCACAGCTCCCCAAAAGCCCAGGGCCTGTTATCCTCGGGTCAAGGGTTGGCAGAGCATGTTCAGATAACCATATTGCTCTAAATACTCAACTGCTGGTAAAACAACTGAAAGTTTGCATGTTGGCTATATGTGCTTTTTTACTTAGATGGGATTCATTGTAAATGATGGTCATCCTGCTGCACGTGGCTGCATTACAAGATACTTGAATCCCAGATAAGTCTGTCTAGAAGATGTAAGGTGAAATTCAGTGGTACAGTCTCCATATGAGCCCTCTGGTCTACAGCTGTACTTTCAAGAAAAGATAAAAATAGATTTTCTTGTCTTTTACAAGCAGGACTCCAGTTTTGGAGAGTGATATCAACACATCATCTGATCTGGAGCTTTGTGGCTGCTCTAGTGAGTTTTAGTCACTTTTTGAACCAGGGTGCAGTGGAAGATCTGACCTTGCTGAGCAGACTGGAATGTACCATCAAAACACAGTGGTGTTATCTATCTCTATAGAGTTATAAGCTTTTTTCTAAATAAGAGAAGGTCACAACAGGAAAATCTTTTATCAGTGGGTAATTCCTGAAGATGTCATACGTTTCCTTTTTATAGGAACATACTTCCTGTTAAAAGAAGGAAAGTTTATCTTATTTCCCTCTTCTTATCAGGAGAAAGAGCATGAAAATAACAGAGGTTTCATTCAGAACTGACAGATTGAGGTTTGGCATATGTATTGTTGATATGATTTGACTAAGAAAGGATCTTGATCACAAATAATGGGAAGCAGCAGAGGAAAATCTAGATAAAAAAGATAGGTGGCACAAAATCTTGTTTACACATGCAAAAAGGAAGGCAAAACCATTGGTAATTCCAGGAAAATAGCAATTTGCAATTCAGATGTTTAACTGATAGTGCACAATGCAGTCTGTGTGCTGCAGACAATTTGGAAACACTGCTGAAATATTCCCCATTACAAATCGTCTTCTTTCCTTTTGAGGTAAAAACATGGTACAGTAGGAGATCATACACAGCAGAGGTCTAGTACCATGGCCATCAGGAGGCAGGCTCAGGAGCTGAGCCCAGGCTGCGTGCACCTCTGGTAGCATTGCCTTTTGGAGGAAATGAGACACATGCCTGACATTTCGAGCTGCTAGTAATTTCACAGTATTTTTTGCAAATGTGAGACAGATGGTTTTCCTGCCCAGTGACTTCTGCAGTGCCAATTGGGTAGAGCATTCTTACCTTAGGGTGGTGGCTTTCTGAGCATGCCTTTGTACAGCAGAACTCGTGAAAGGGTGCAAGTCACTTACAAAACCTGTGTTCCTCTCTCTGTCCGTTGCACAAATATGATGAACGAAATGATATCACATTGCTGCTTACTCCAAATCTCAGGCTGTTTTTTTCACCCAGTTATGGCTGTGTTTTAGTTCTGCAAAACTGTAGCCTCGAGAATGAGGTTGATGTGACCAAACAGTGTGCATTGTACAGCTGTCTTTCTGCCCATTTCACTTCCCAGTGAATTTGTAGTTACTGCCAATTCTAACCGATTGTGACAGGCATTTGGAAATATCGCAGGTATTAAGATACGTCAAGTTTTGTGATGGTAGTTGGTCAAGTAGATGCCTTCAGTTCTTCTTCATGTTTCTATAGTTTACTGGTAGGTGTTATTGTAGTATAAGTCAGTATTTTTGTCCCAAGTGAGTCCTGTGGGTCCCAAGTGATGCAAGTTTTCTTTATGGCTGAGTCACAGCAGCAGCATAGGTAATAGAATGATGGAGCTCTTGTGCTGGTGAACTGATATGGTTAATCCAACTTCTCTTTTCTCAGCTGGAAGGAGTGGCATCCTGGCTTTCCATTGAGCATTGATGCCCATTGTCACAGTGAGCTGCCCCGTGACATCCAGTTTGACAACGAGAAAGGAATCGACTTCATTCTGAACTACTCCAAAGCGTGAGTGTTTGTGGTGCTTCAGGCATTTTGCAAAAACTTTTTTTGTGCAGAGTAAGGATGTGACCATGTTGTAGGTTTCACTGAATCTCAGAATTGGATTCTTTTCTCCCATCTGCCTGTGCCATTTAACCACATTACCTGTGGTTAAACAAAGCAGGAAAAAAAAAAAAAAAAAAAAAAAAAAAACAGGAAAAAAACATCTTTTTTTTTGTTTTAATTGATGTTTTGAGCTCTTTACTCTTGGAACTTGCTGCTCCTCTGCATTCTCATTAGACACTGTTTGGCTGTAGGCAGAATGAGGAAAGACTTCTGAAAAGCATGCAGAGGAGTTATTGACACCTACTGCCTTAGGCATCTGGCTTTGCTCAGTGATGCCCCCTGAAGATGCTTCTCTCCTCTGGTTATTTGAGAAAATTAGGCCTTTCAATCAGGTACCAAAAGGTGGTGTCAATGCACCTTTGAGACTCTGCTGAAGAAAAGCTATTCCCATCAGATGTAGGCTAAATTCATCACTTAACCACATCTGAGAGTAATCCGCTCCAGGCATCAAAGTCACTGTCACACCTGAACTTGGCATGTCACTGAAAAAACAGTCCTGGCCATTGGTGAGCCTGAAAAATCCTGCCCAGCAGGATAGTACAAAGTTAATGGGAGAACAGGAAATCTCTGCACTGTGAGTCTGCTTCTGAGCTGTCTCACAAGCCTGAGCCATGTCATATTTTATCAAATGGTGGGAAAAAAGGCAAGGTGAGGCAAGGCTGCATTGAGATCATCCACAATTCCTACATCTGTGACTCTGATAACATGCTGGTCCCTCCGTATTTTGGAATGATACACCTCTCAGTGTTTCAGTGATCAGATGGGGATTATATCGTCAAACATAGGTTGATAAGAGAACTAGCAGGTTTTACAGCCATTCCTAATAACAGTGAATACTTTCTTATCTGAGTCCATTTAGTGACCTGACATGGCTGAAAATCTATGTGGTCATGCTTCTTTTAGAAGTTCATCTGATATTTAGATACTTACCGTCTGTCCAGGAAGTCCTGCCCAATACTCCTTCCATCTCCTGATATTCAGGAAAGGCCATTCAGAGCTCCTTCTGTGCTCCTGTCAGGGGTGATGAGATCTCCAAAGAGGTTGCTTCCAGGCCCTGGCTAGATAATTGCACAAGATGCTTCCTAACGTGCCTCCAGGCACCTCTTCTTATTTTGACTGGTATCTGTAGCAGCAGAAGCAGCCTTTTTACATGTCCCTTGTCTGATTTTCTGGTTATGCTGATGGGAATCCTCTTTCACAATGCCACTTGCTGTCTTTGCGGGCTTCTTGTCCTCTTTGACCACTTCCAATCCAGTTCATTTTAAGGTTTCTCAGTCTTAGTTTATAATTTACAACTGCATCTTCATCTACATCTGCATAGAATTCTCCCCGTTCCCCTCCCCCAGGAGGATTTGCTGCAACACTGTGGTATTTCTTTGCTCTCTTAACTGTTCTCCCCATCTTCGTGCAGTGCATGTCTTCTTCTTTGCACATTTGAAGATGCTAGTGGAAAGAAAACCTGATTCTAAGTCCACTGACATGTAATCAAAATAAATATTTTCTATTTAATAACAACAAAGCTACCATTTATGTAACAGTGTAAGGCTTTGTTTTTAGGATGGAGAATCTCTATATCAACCGTTTTATGCACATGTTCCAGTCTTCCTGGAGTGATTTTGCAGATTTTGAGAAGATCTTTGTGAGAATCAGTAACACAATCTCTGGTGAGTTTGTCAGCATTTTCTCACATTTTCATCATCAAATGATTGATTTTCTGTCTTGAATATATCTGGTTAGGAAGGAAGAGGCTGACCTACACTTCTGCTTGAACATCATTTACCATAAACAGCAAGTAATCTTAGATTGCTGATCGTACAACAACCCACAAGACTACCAAGCAAAGTTATGATAGAAACATAGAATGGCTTGGATTGGAAGGGACCTTAAAGACCCTCCACTTCCAACTGTCTGCCCATGGCTTGGATCTTTTTGATTTCACAAGTTGTTCCAATGAGTCATTTTGACAAAACTTGCAAGCTGTCAAGCCAGTAAGTCTGGGGGCATGTTGCAAAGGGCAGAGAATGAGCTGGGAGCTGTAACTTCTTCACATGGTCCTGGTGCACAAAATAGTCCATCTGACCAGAACCAGAGGAACTGTAATTCCTGCTGGGAATGAGTGCAAGTTAGTGCTTAAAAGGGCTCGCAGCATCTATCCCAAATGTCATCTCTTTCCAAAAACATGTTGGAATTTATTATGCACACTATAGTAAACATGGTGACATGTTTACCATTCAGTGCTCACATCTTACCAGGAATAGATATATATCTGTAAGAGTCTGTGTTTACTTTTTTGCTTTCAAATATAAGTATCTGGAAAATCCTTTGTACTGATAAAAATTCCACTCACGTAGTATTAAAAGACAAAGACAAAATTCTTATTTCCTTAATTTTTTTTGTGTGTGAAATCTTAGTAGTTATTGGAAAGCCAGGTAAAAGAGTTGCAGATGGAGATGGGGTGATGGAGTCATTTCTGTAAAGTGGGGCTGGGAAGCCTTTGATTTGTGAGCCAGACCTAGCCTTCTACTACAGCTTGCAGTTGTACTATTTGATATTATTTTACTGTAGTAATGGATATAATAGATACACAGATGCTATTATTCAGTTAGCATGTAGCTCCTAAAGCATGTGTAGATTTACTCATTCTGGCTCTGCAAAGGAACATGCTTTTCCTTCCTGTTCTGAAGTTTCTCCCCTCTTCAGGCTGACTAAAGGACCAATTAACAGAAATAGGAGGCACTTCTATGATTTCAAGTGTAAAGTAAAGCACATAAGGAGGCTGGAGCTATTAAAAACTAATTACATCAATTTGTTAAGTTTAGTAAGATTTCTTCCTAAAGTACAAGGATTAGATATAATCTACATTTAATTTCATTGATAATATTTCCATACCCATGAGGAAAGCTCCAATTCTGTGAGTTTTAAACTATAAGAATGGATTTCAGCTGTGAGTGCACCTCTCAATCTGATTATTGGCAAGACTTGGCAGAAGCAAGTTCACGTTTTTCAGTCATGCAGCTTCCCTGTCAGCATCAGTGGGATTTTGTTTTTAATCATGTGTTTTCTGACTCTCAGCTTGTAGTTTGAAGTGACCATAATGACATTAAGAAGCAGAGAACTGCAGTGTGGAAAGCACACAGTACTACTAAAGATGTAATAAGGAGATGGAGTCTCCAACACTATTGTTTTATTCAGACGAGTTATTAATCTGCTTTCTATTAACAATTGAAAAATAAGCAGGGGAAAAAAAAAAAACAAAAAAAAACCAACCCAGCCAATGAGCAATGTTAGTGAGAAGCCTAAAGTCAACATCGTTCCCCAGGTACCTCTCACCCAGCTTCAGTCACTGCTGTTTTTTCCCTTCCCCCTTGGGTATTTCCCTTTCCCTGCCTGTGCCATTGTTTTGGGGCTTATTGGTCTGTATAACAAACCCCAAGAACTTGGATACTAAGATTGAAGAATATCATGGAAGACGTAAGGAGGTGGTCTGCAGATGGAGAGCATATTTTTCATAGAAGTTGAATGTTTCAGTGCAGTGTAACAAAAGGAGTGGGGGATAAATAAAGGAATCTGAAATACAGTGATATTGATGCTGCTGACTTGTTTTCCTTTAGAATATGTGATGCAGCACTGGAAAGAAGATTTTATGTTTGGCTACCAGTTCCTGAATGGCTGCAATCCTGTGCTGATACGGCGATGCACAGAGATTCCCAAGAAATTGCCAGTGACCATGGATATGGTAGAATGCAGCCTGGAAAGGAACTTGACCCTGGAGGAAGAAGTGAAGGTAGGGCTTGGGGTGAGGTTGGACTCCATCTGCTCTTCCTTGTGTTCTCTGACCTCCACTCCCTGTTCTAGCTACATTTCAGCCACATCTCCACACTCCAGCTGCAGGCCAGGCTGTTTTCCAGGTCCAGTTAAAAGGATGCCACCAGGAGGTGAAGGGTCCTTCACAGTGCTTTCTTCTCAAAGGATAGGGAGTGTCAGAAGTGCGAAGCATCCTACCCTTTCCCAGGAGGGTCACCCACAAAGCTGAATTAAAATGCTGAAGAAGGACTAGGAGGATGGTACATTCCTTTTGTCTGTACAATGAGCATAGGGTGTGGAATAGTGTGAAACTTGTTTGCACCTCAGTGTCACTGCATGAATGCCAAATACATAGTCGCTCTCTGCTGAGAGGTTTGCTGTCAGGGTCAGCAGACACAAGTCAGGTAGCTTGTGTAGAGGTGCTTGCTGTCCCAATAGCAAACATCACTCCTGAGCCTCCATGAGCAAAGGTGGGCTAGCAGCTACCTGTAACTGCAGGGCATGAACCAGCCCCTGGCCCAGACTCCCCAGCCTTAGTTCTGAGCCTCACTGTTTGTGCCTTTCTGCTTTTCTTTCTTAACCTCTCTCAGTGCTGTCTTCTTCCTCTCTCATCTACCTTTCAGCTGCTGCCCTGTCCTTTTTCTGTCCTTCTCACCAGGAACAGTTTGCTGTGTTCTTTCATTTCTCCCTCTTTCTGTTAAAACACACCAAATCCTTTTCACTTTTTTTACCAGCAAGGAAACATTTTCATTGTGGACTATGAACTGCTGGATGGCGTGGATGCCAATAAGACAGACCCATGTACAATACAGTACTTGGCTGCACCCATCTGTTTGCTGTACAAGAATCTGGAGAATAAAATAGTACCCATTGCAATCCAGGTGAGCTTGCTGTCAGAGTGTATAAAGGGTCACATTGCTTATTGTCTCATCATAAACGCACATGAACTTGGGGATTGTACTGTTTTCATCTCTTTCAGCTTGGTCAAAAGCCTGGGCCAGAAAATCCCATTTTCCTTCCTTCAGATGCCACCTATGACTGGCTGCTGGCCAAAATTTGGGTTCGCTCATCTGATTTCCACATCCACCAGACAGTGACCCATCTCTTACGGACACACCTTGTCTCAGAGGTGTTCAGCATTGCCATGTTCCGGCAGCTGCCTGCTGTACATCCCCTCTTCAAGGTTGGTCTTTCTGTGAAGAGGTTCTGGGAGAGTCAGTAAGGTTTTCTTTTTGGCTTGACAAATCAAAAGTACATCCTGGTGGTAGCTCAATTGGGATGGTTTGACCAGGTGCCTGGCAAGGCAGTGTAGAGCTAGCTGCTCTCATCGAGGACTTCAAACTCTACACACAGTTGAATTTAATCAAAGAATTTGTCCTCTACCATTGTTTGTCATATTTCACAGCTGTTGGTGCCACACATGCGATTCACAATAGCCATCAACACCAAAGCTCGAGAACAGCTCATCTGTGAATGTGGCCTTTTTGACAAGGTAAGTAATTCCCTTTGCAAATCTTGTTATTTTTCATGGGTCCCTATGTGTTTTAATTCTTTATCCATCACATACTGTGTTATTTCTTGACTTTCTGCTAAAGCACAAACATAAACAGCATTGCCTGAGACACAGAAATGATGCCTTCAGTTAATTCACTTCCTGTCATGCTGAAGATGGTATCTTTCACCTCTAAGTAACCAGTTCAGAACTGTATGATATACAAACATCTAAACCCAACTGTAATAGTGTTTACTGTGATAACAGCTCTTCATCTCCTTGCTACCCCAGAAACAGCATGCCACATCTAAGAACCGCAACAGGTTGGCAAGCAGCCCTCTCTGTGGAAATGTGCTAGCTGCAACCAGGACAAGTTCCTGACATACCTCTGGCACCAGGGAAAAAAAAAAACAAAAAACTTCCGTGCTCCAAAGTTTTTCTGCCTACATAGAAAAAGAAGTTAATTGCAGATTCTTTCCTTGTCTTCTGTCCTCCTCTGCTAACTGTGGAGGCTTGGCAGACACTCCTGACATCAACTGAGTGGAAGGACAGCATCTGTACCCCATGCATGTGGGTTGAGTGTGCTGCTAAGACCTGCTAATGAGGATCATGAAGTTCGAGAATTGTTGGTTTCAGTATAAATGTACAGCCAGACAGAAGAGAGTAAGTGTAAGCTGCATACTGCTACACTGCTAACACCACAAAGAAAAATTTGGGAGCTTCTGAGCAGTGATTATATGAAGGATTTTGCAGTGTTGTTTGTTGTGAACATGCTGTGTTTTCCCACTCAAACACCCAGCAGGATTGTTGTCCTGGCTTACATCTCAGGGTGCCTAAGAGTAGCCTCCAATCCTAACCGCCACCTGCCATTAATCCTAAACCACTCTGCAGCAGCACTTGGTGTTTAGCAAAAGCTCTGGTCTGACACACTTCTGGCTGCCTTCCTTCACACATGCACTCATTCTGGAGCATGGAGCTGGCAGAAAGTGCTCTGGGTTCAGTAATTCTATACTTTATTACTGTTTCATTATATTATTTTAAGGTGATACATTAGATGTGCCTGTGGAGAAAATGGATCTGTTATCTGTTATATGTGGTTTGTGGAAAAGATGTGAAAACTGTGAGGTCAAAATGCAGAACTGCAGTAGACCTCTGCAGTTCGGTATGTATTTGTGTGGAGATGCACTTCTACTTGTAATAACACATCTCCTGGAAATTTGGACAACCAGCCTTGGCACAAAGTGAGCCTAATTTATCTCCCACTGCTCATATCTTGCTGTTGTTCCTGCAGGCAAATGCCACAGGTGGAGGAGGACACGTGCAAATGGTTCAGAAAGCAATGAAAGATCTGACTTACAGCTCACTCTGCTTCCCTGAAGATATCAAAGCTAAGGGGATGGACAGCAAAGAGGATATCCCCTACTACTATTACCGAGATGATGGCATTAGAGTTTGGGAGGCAATAAAGAGGTAAAAGGCTGTAGTCCTGGAAAGGGGCAATAAAGTCTTTGTCCCAGAGATACCTCTTCATTTTGTCTCTGCTCTACATCACATTCTTGTGAATACAGCTTGGGACTTCAAGAAATTGAAGGCTAAAATTACAGTAAGAAAGATTTGGGGTAGACTATAGTCAAATTACCATTAGATAGATAGAGCAGATCATTTTGAGAGCCAGTGGTTCAATGGGGGCTACCATTTAAAAGAAATAATTTCCTCAAGTGTTATAGATTGAAATGATCCTGTCCTAGCACAGGGAATGAATGCCATCACATGGGTGAAGGAAAGTGTTGTGAACCCATCTTGAAGAACAGTTACTAACTCTCAGCTCCTGCTCAGTTTCCTAGTCAGAGATGTTTGATTCCTGCCCTTTACAGGCCTATATTCTTGCATTCTACATTTCAGAAGCCCCTGTATAAGTTTGTATTCATCTGTAGGATTTCACTGTAATTGTCCCTCAATTCCCTCAATGTTCAATGCAGGGGAGTTGGTCCAGACCTTTAATGGGCCCTTTCAACTCAAACTATTCTATGAATTTAGCCCTGCAAAGGGAATTTAATTAGCTTTTTAAGCTATGCACAAACTGAGAAAGAATGCAGCAGCCTGAGCAACCCATGTGAGCTCATTGGGTTTCTTATGGAAGCAGAAATGTTAAATGTGGTTCACATGAGAGAGCTGTGTTTTGAAGCCCAGGAAACTGAAGTACTAACTGATTTGAACCAAACCTTTCTTCAAGTGCCTTAAAATTGCAAGGGCCAGATTTTGAAGAAGGGCAGCAAGTTTGTGCCTGGAGAGGTCTTGCAAGAGTGAAGCTCTTCACTCTTGGGTGTTTATAACACAAGACTAATGTTTAGAATGTTGTTTATATCTTTGCCTCCTGTGATTTCAGCACAGGGAATATCTTTCCATATTTCCTACAATTGTTAGTGCCCATTTGAGAGAAAAGGAAATTTTTACTTTTCTGTGGTTTCTTGATATAGTTTCCCTGCCCGTGTGCTTGTTCCTGCCCTTGTTTTCTTTCCTATTCTTTCTTGTGCTAATTGAGATAGGGTATCTTTTCAAATACCAGATAGTAAACTCAATTTAGTTTAGCTCTTTGTCAGTGTTAGCTGGAGGAGGATATTACACAGCCTCAGACTTGGCTGAGAGATTCACTGTAAGTACCTAGTTTATAAATAGTGTGAGCAGTGACCTTCTGAGCACTGGCTGTTCTCACACCTGAGCCCACTCACATGCGTGTAACCACAGCCTACTTTTCTCTGAAGGGGTGTCAGTATCTGCTCCTTGATGAAATGACTTCTATCCCCAGCCTATCCTTTTAGCTCCCTTCCAACTTGGGATATTCTATGTTTCTATGACTGCGGTCCAACATACTTCTGATGGTGGAGCAGTGATACTGCAGTTAGAAATAATTGGATTCCCAGCACTTGATGGAGGGTGTTGAGCTCTGCTCTTGGCCCCACTCTTCCTCGCAAGGTGTATCCTCTCTGTAAGCTCAGCATAAGGTCTTCAGTAGGATTTCTTTCTGCTTTTTTGTTGTTGTTTTTTTTTTTTTTTTCATTTGTTCCTCTGTCTGCAGTTTTGCAGAGGATGTGATTCAAATCTACTACGAGAGCGATGAGGTGGTGTGTGAGGATGTGGAACTCCAGGCCTTTGTCAAAGACATTTACATGTATGGGATGAGGGGCGTGAAGGCCTCAGGTAAGGTACGATGGCCTGGCCAGATCTGCAGCTTCCCAGATCTCTAGTGATGACAAGGCTGTGTGCACTGTACATCTTGAACTGTTGGTGACCCCCTCCCTTCTTGGCCCACAGACTCAGTTTTATGGACTGCCCCTATGGGCTGAAAACCTGCCCAGCCTGCAGCGTCACCTTTCTGCAGTGCTGCCACCACAAGGGCTGAGGCAGAGCAAGTAGGACGACCTGGGTCTGTAAAGAATAGGAAGGGCACAAGTGGGGGACAGCTGGCCTCCACTCCTGCCGTGGTAGCACTGCTCTGACCATGAGCATGCTGAGATCCTTTACAAGATGAGCACAGTGCGCTGAGGACAGGAGGGTGCTGGAATGGGTGTGTATCCTCTCCTCTTTGGGCTTGGTACCTGACCAGAGCTACCATGTCTTCTTGCCCCTGCCAGGTTGAATTTGCATCTGCAGCAAGTTCATGGTGCAGACATGGCAGCAGCTGGCTCAGAGACAGCTCACCCCAAGGAGCTGTCAGATCTCTAGTTATCATGGGACCTGTCATCGTGCTGGGATGGGACAGGGACAGGGCAGGATTAATGTTGGGGCAGGAAAGATGCAGGCTCAAATGTGCTTTGGAGACAAAATATTTCCCCTATCCCTGACTATTCTGTTCTTTCTTTAAATAGCTCTGTTTGATTACTCCCCCTCAAAGACTGCTTGATTCAACTATTTCTGTTCCTCATTCTGCTGTTTTTGTTTCAGAAGTTCTCATTTCCTCACTTATTGTTTCAGCATATAAGTTCTCCCCGCACTTGTTCCCACAGCGCACTTGATTGCTGAGCCTCAGACATTTATAAATACAAGCAGACAGCCATTTGCTCTTTGGCGTGAAATTTCTCTGCTTGCATTGCAGAAGAAAGAAAAAGGGACTCTCTGGGTTCCTTGCCACAGGGTAGGTGTGAGGACAGAGATGCCATATATTTTAAAGGTATAATTATGCTTTGCCTTTCTCCTAAGGAACGCCACCTGCTTTTTGCAGACAATGATGATGCCTCACAAATCTGTATGAGGTAAAGGCAGGATCACTCTGCTTTTGTGGCTGGACAGCCAAGATACAGAGCTTGATTAACTGCTGTTAGAGCACATGGCAGAACCAATAACAGAGTTAGAAGGAGAATGTCCTGCTCTTCGGTGACTGTTGCATGGTCCTCCAATTCACATCTTCAACCAATGACTACTGGGTAACTGCGTTGTTTCGTGGCTGGGTTACTTATTCTTTTCTTCTCCCTCATTCAGGGTTTCCTAAGGTGATCAAGACACGGGAGAAACTAGCAGAATATCTCACAGTGATAATATTCACCACATCAGCCCAGCACGCAGCTGTGAATTTTGGTCAGGTAGGAACTTCTGGGAAGACTGTTTATCCCTTTGGGCTGGGAGATGCACCTACCAGGGCACAGTCTGAGAAGTGCTGTTGGATAGATAAGCAGACATTACATTGCTCTTTCTGGCTGAACTGCAGTGTCGTCTGCAAATCCCCATAAGGACTGTGGAAACACTGATTTTGGAAATATTTGGAATAATTTTGAGTACTAGATAGGTACTGAAACTCGGGTTTGGGAGTTATACCTTGTATATTTTGGTTTCATTCATTTTGTCATGGGGAAAAATTCTGTTTTAAAGCATTTAAACGGGTTACTAAAATCCATTTTGGAAATGCTGAGGGGATCAGGTACACAGTCTGGATACCACAGCCCCATGGCTCCCAGACATCACCTGAACTGTCTGAATACATGCTGGTAGTCTGTGGCTCATGCTGCAACAAAATGCAATGAGTTATGCTAAGAGGCTTTGCTTTGTATTTGCTGCAAATGGGTACACGGGTGATTACCAAGAACTGCTGATGTAAGCTGTGCAAATCTGGCAGTATGTTTGTGCCAAAGCAGCATATATCCCATCTTCAGATGTGGCTTAGGGAACATATACAGCTCGGCTCTATGACTGCAGCACATGTAGCTGTATACGCTGTCTGTCTTTGAGTTGGCTCAGCTGGGTGTTTCAGCTGTTCAGTCCCAGCAGTACAGCAATCTAGCTGGCCTGCTGGAGCATTTACCAAAGTTGAAAATTGCCTTACACATGTCTGTGGGAGTTGTACTTCTGCTTTCTGAGGTGGCATAGATAAGCTGCTACAAGGTGAAATTGTATTAAAGCCAGTAGGATGGGCTCCCGATCCTCTGTGGTGTCTAGTAGGTATCCATCAGGCAGGATAGGCGAACATATATAAAGAAAAACTACTTTGAAAAGGAAGGTTAATGGTAATTGCAGCATTTCAGATGGTGGCAAAACTCAGGATGGTAACTGAGGCATCACCATCCTGTAGCACTGAGGTATCCCAGAAGTGTTTCTGAGTTAGAATTGTTTTAATTGGAAGGGACCCTTAGAGACCATCCAGTCCAACTCCCCTGCAATAAACAGGGACACCTACAGCTCAATAAGGTGCTCAGAGCCCCATCCAGCCTGACCTTGGATGTCTCCAGGGACAGGACCTCCACTATATCTCTGTGTTCCCAGTCCGGTGCTCACCACAGCCACATGTACATGGCATATTTGCCATCAGCTGCCTCTCCTACCACCTTTACCCAGCAGCCTGGCAAGGAAATGCTAGCAGGTGGCCATGGCTTGCACTGGTGGGTGCCTGTTGGGGTATCAGAGCCATAGAGGCCTTTGACAATGCTCAGCAAAAAGTGCACGTGCAAGCTTAGAGATCTGGCATAGGGAATCACAACCCCGATAACAGAACATCACCAAATCTGATGATTTAAAAATGATGCAATATGACTGGAGAACAGCAAACATATCCTCCAAACGCAATAAAAACTGCGAGCTTGTTTACCACAGCACTGAGGGCATGTTCTTAGAGCAGGTTTTGCAGAATAGAGCAATTGGAGAAAAGGAAATTTTACCCGTTTTAGTGGTTTTATCAAAGATGACCTCAAACTTTGAAGAGATCTTTGTTTATTAAAATAGCTAAATTCTTTGTCTGACCAGTGAATCTGGGTCTGTGGTCAGCAGAATAACTGCTCCTATGGAGGTGACCCCACTCTCTCTCCTGTGAGATCCTTCTGGGAAAGATAGTGGGGACTTTCTTACCTCTTTCAGTGCTTCACAAGAACGTCTCTCTGTCCTTCAGTTTTGTTAGTATCTTTTCATTCTGAGGAACTCCTATTACAGAAACAGACTCCCCAGTGCCAAATTTCATCATTTCCTTTGAAGCGTTCCTGAATACCTACCACTGTAGCTTTTCACTGTGCTTTCTTGCCTTGCGCAGTATGACTGGTGCTCCTGGATTCCCAATGCCCCACCGACAATGCGCTGCCCTCCTCCGACAGAAAAGGGGACAGTCACCATCGAGCAGATTGTGGAGAGTCTGCCAGACAGAGGGCGTTCTTGTTGGCATCTGGGAGCTGTCTGGGCCTTGAGTCAGTTCCAGGACAATGAAGTAAGTTGACCTTTCTGCAGGAGGTGGGGGATGTAGGGAGATAATGAGAGCTATGGCAGGACCACACTGACTCATGTGGTTGTGGTTGCACTGACTTGAGCATCCATGGATGAGGAGCAGTAGCCAGGGATGGAGGGTGGGACACATCTTTCACTGGCAGTGCTAGTCTTAAGTGCTAGCTTAAATGTTGATTGGGCATAATAGTAGCACTCCTAAAGCTTAGGATGTTGTTCTGCTGGATGGCATAGCATTGAGACAGACCAGCCTTTTTTTCTTTTTTTTAATCTCAAAGCATGATTTCTTGGTGTTTTTGTCAACTAGCTGTTTCTGGGCATGTATCCGGATGAACATTTTGTGGAGAAGCCGGTGAAAGAGGCGATGGCAAAATTCCGCAAGAATCTGGATGAGATCGTCAGCGCCATCACTGAGCGCAACAAGAACAAAAAGCTCCCTTACTACTACCTGTCCCCAAATCGCATTCCCAACAGTGTTGCTGTTTGAGCAACAAGGAGAGCTCAGCAGAGTATAAACCCAGTGCATGTTTTCCTGTTACATATGGTTCACATTAGAGACCTTTCAGAGATTTGTAAAATAACAAACACGCCCTCTCCATCAGAGCTGACCCATACTCTATTTTGGCTTTTAAAGCAAATTTAACTATGACAAATCTTGCACACAGTTTAGCTGGTGACTCCTTAGGTCAAATTTTTTACAAGCTTATATCACCAAGATTTTTATATTACTCTTAGAATCAATACCTGCATTAGTGTTAGCTTTCCCTTTCCCAATCAGAACAAAGAAATCACAGAAATTACACTGCTTTCAAGCTGAGTACTGCCACGCTGTGTGTGAGAATTGGACATAGCAGTGAAAAGGTACTGAATGAAGATGGGTGTCTTCACGTTCCTCATTTCGCTCATCTGATTCAATGAAAATAGTATCAGGAGCAATAAACAGGTCTTTTAAATCCTTCCTATTTTTAATAGATGATGCTCATGACTTGAATTCATAGTCTTCCAAGTTTGTGTGTTGTTCATAAACTGATTTAAAAAGTTACATTACATATTTTCACTACAACTTCGAATGCCCGAGTCAGGATGAAGGTAAAAGCATAGCATTTTTGTAACACAGACGAGTTTTTATCACCTTCTTGTAGCAAAGTCACTTTTCTCATCTAAAATGAGAAAATCTGGTTTATAGGAAATGAATTCTTTTATCTATATGTACCTATATATTTTCTACATAAAACTAATAAGGTTTGTTTCAGCATCTGCCAGAAGAGTTCTCTGTCACTGGTATGCATGGCAAATGTTTTGCTTGGCACAGTAACAAGTACACACTTAGCAGTGGTATTCTCAGCTTCATTGCTGAGAAGGCTGGGCATTGTGGGCAGCTTCTTTTGTTCTGGGAGGGAAGAAAATGCTGCTTTCTATAAAGGTTATGGAGAAAGGTCAAATGATGGCTTCTAAGAAGGATCCTTGGATTTGACCAATTAAGTATAATCTGTTCCACCTTAGAGACGTCCAAGCTGTGACTGTTATACTCAGAGATGATTAGGCTCAAGTATCTGGGCTTTGGTTTAAGGTTAGGAGTCACAGAGATAACAAAAGGGAAAAGTGAGGTTTGGGAAATCTAAGAGCAGTAGTTTAATTAATAACACTTCTGCATTTTTCCCAGATTTTTTGTACTAGTGGTGTAAGCCTGCAGTGTTTGTTTTGTTATTTGTTTTTTAAAAATATGAGAAAGCTGCTTATGCTAATAAAACAGAACTGAATAAGAAAATCTAGCTTTTATTTCTTAACTCACTTTCTAATGCTCTATGTTTTGGAGAACTTGTTAGGAATATAAGGCTTATATAAGGAAGATAAGATGTTGTGTAGAGAAATGAAGCTCCTGTACATTGAGAAAATACAGTTATTTCTGTCACTCGTGTGAGTTTCAAATAAGATTGGTGCTAAAGTGTCCTTCATGTTTCATATGAAATACAGAATCGGAAAGGACAACTATTTTAGACCCTTGATGGTAGTCTGATTTCCTTTTTCTTCTACCAGTGAAAGAGCTTCAGCAAAAATGTGGACAGTGAGGATACTTCCTTCTCTTGAGGAAGTACGCTTATGACTTGTGTGTTTTCTTCTTACCACAGCCCATGAGAATGAAGGCTGCAGGCACCAAGGCGTGCGATTGTAAGTGGTGATGGAAGACAGACAGAGGGCCAGAGACCATAGCATGCAAACCACAAAAACAAAAAAAAATGCTGAATTTCACAACAAGCTGATGCAATATATCCAGTTCATGCTCCTAGCTCATGTTCTTCCCCTGTATATGGTGAATGTCTTGTTGCCTCAGCCTTCCTATAATAATGATCTGCACAGTCGAGCACTTCTCTGGAAAAAATATAGAGAATCTGAGGCCTGGTCTCTTGCATCTGTTCCCTTGCATCCCACCCTGTGGATCTGGGTCTGAGGGGAAGTTTGGGGAATTTGTTGTGCAGCTTTCAAGGCTGATGCCTGATTTAACTGCAGCAGAGCCTGTGGAATAAGGTGAGGAGGTTAAAGGTAACACTATCACTATTAAGGAAGCAAATACAAGCAAATACCAAAGTACTTATTTTCTCCCAGCTTATTCCCTGCTCCCTTTACACCAGTCAGCATTCACCAGAAAGAGACCTTCTTGTGTGTGGCCTGTGAGTTGTTTCACTGCATCCTGCTTGAACAAATGTGTCCCTGAGGTCATGTTTCTAAGGTCCTGTAGTGTCCACTCCCAAGATTACTTCTGGGCAAACATGAAAGGACCAGCCCTCTCTGAAGTGGGACTCAAGTGAGTGCACTCAACTGAGTGATAGATGTGAGATGATGCACATTTAAAGGATATTTAACAGGATTGAAAAGTCAGCGGCATGTGTCTTGGCTGGATGACTGATGGCCTGTATGTAACCTGCCTTCCCAGCTCCAGCACCCTTGCTGTCTTTCCCAGTTGCAGTGATTTTTTTATCGACTGGGAGATGTTCACTGCTGAATGCTCTGGCAGAGACTCAGAAGGCTCTGTTATCTCTGTCCTTCCTCACAGTGCTTGGTCACAGAAGAGGGCACTTCAACAATGAAACACCATTAGTGGTAGTGAGAATAGGAGAATACTTTCCAGCCCCTTTGGCTTTACAAGTAGAGGAGAAACCCTAATGTTTTCTCCTCAGGCAAATTACAAAAAAGAGGAGAAATGGAGGACTTGAGAGGAAGAAGAGGCATTAACAGGAGGACAAGCATTTCCCTGAATATTTGATTTTTTGGGCTCATTGGTGACAGGGAGGACTTAGCCCCCTGCAGCCATCCCTGCTCTCATCACTGTCCTCCCATGTTTTCCCCCTTTAGTGGACTGAGATTCAGGTTAATTCTCAAGCTCTCTTCTGGGTTGCATGAGAGAAGACCCTCCCAGTCACCTGCCCAGTTGGGTTGCCATTGCTCTGCCCCATTCCTCTGCCCAAAGGTGATTCAGTTCCCTACTCACACCCATACAGTTCTAGTGGGCAGGTAGGCTACTCAGAATTATTTGCTCTGTTGCACACAGGGCAGAACAGGAAATATCCCCCAGAATATTTGTTTCTAAAGAGCAAATTTTAATCAGCATCTGATTTTCCTACTGCAGGAGTAGCTAAGTGGTATCTTAAGAAGTAATTGTATGTGCTGAGATGTAGCACAGAGTGCTTACTGTGTATCATTTGTACAATAAAGAGGAATAAATATTGCACACAATCAGAAAGAGCTGATAAGTTTGAATGTTAACTCACTCATGGGTGCTTGTTTTTTGTTTTTGTTTTTTTTGTCCAGAAGAAGGCGTTATGATCACTTTGACTGATCTCACAGCTATTTACATTTCCTCTTCAAATTCAGTAGAGGGTCTTGAGCTGCCTCTGCAAAAAACTCCTAACTTTCTGAAGTAGAGTTCACTCTGTTGCTTCACTTATTTGTCTCACTCACGACCGCTCCTTGCTGTTAAAGATACGTGCCATGTCCCTAGCCTGCACGCATGCAGTTGCTGCTTCTTGCAACAGACAGCTTCTTGCAGTAGCTCTGTGTGGCTGAGGATCCTTCTCTGACTGGTTCCCTACTACATCCTTCCCCTTTCCTTTACTAAACTGAGTAGATTTAATTTCCAGAAGCCTTTTGTAGTAAGACTTTCTTTAAACTTGTTGTCAGTTCACATTACATCTTTTTATTAGCACTCTGTGGACAGCCACCACAATTGAACAGCTATTTCAGTTATTATTTCCTAAGCTGGATTTCACTCTGCTGGAGATATATATCTACAGTTTGTCCCTGGATTGAGAAATAGCTGCCATTTGGAAAGGTAGTTTCAGTGCTGGTGGATGTCACAGAATGTATAGTGACTCTGCAAGCACAGGATAAATATCATCTACAGATATTTGGCCTTAATCACTCAACAAATTAGAGGAAGAACTCAGCAAAACAAGAGTGTCAGATCAGTGAGCTGACCACAAGGCCTGAATTTCCTTCCCATATTGCTAGAGTTTCCTTATAAAGCTGAAGCTGACGCTTAGGAAAAATTTCTTCTCTGAAAGGGCAGTCAGGTTGCTGGAATGGGCTGCCCAGGGAGATGGTAGTGTCTCTGGATGTGTTCAAGAAACATTTGGATGTTGTACTAAAGAACATGGTTTAGTGGGGAAATGTTATTGGTAAGTGGACAGCTGGACTGGATGATCTTGGGGGTCTGTTCCAATCTTAGTGATTCTATGATTCTGTAGTTGTACAGATGCATGGCAGAATGATGAGTTACGGACAAAGGACTGGCAGGAGAGAAGAGCTTCACCAGCTGAGGAATTAAACTCCAGCGAAAGCATACCTTTATCTGGCAAATGCTGGGAAGGCTGCTTGCTTTCTATGAGATTATTATCGCCTTTCTGAGACTAATATGTATTTTATGTTAATGAGCTTTCTGAAATCAAAAAACAACACAGCAGAAGTAGAGATGTGTGGAGGGTACTTGGGAGGCTATGAGGGATGTTCTGACTGCTGACCTGAAGTTATCCTGAAAATCAGAAAATAATTTAATATCCATAATACGTTAGAGTGTCCTGGTACCGTCTGTCAGTTTTGGTGTCAAGACTGGTTTTAGGTGTTGTGCATTATTGACCACTGCCACCTTATCTTCAACAACTGTCTGACTCTTGATGCAAGCCTTGATGCAGCAGAGGGACGGCAGAAGATTTGGGTTTTTTTAGGCTGTTGCTGCTGGAAACAAAAATGGGCAAGGGTTTTGGCATGCTCTGCACTGTTGTAGCTAATTTGAAGTAATTGATAACTATGTGTACTAACACCCGCTCAGAGCTATCTTTCATCTTTTCAGTTGTAGATGTTGTTGATTGTTTCTATCCTCTCTGTTCCTTCCTGAAAACAGCACTGACTCTTTACCTAACCTCAGCTCGTAGCTAGGAGTGGCGGGCAGATTCTTATCCAGAGCACTAGAGGGCGGCAATAGTACGTTAAAAATCAATCTTTCCAGACCCAGTCCCTGCTAGCCCCAGGAAGAAGGGCCCTGTTTCCTCCTTTTAGTCGTCTGGGCTGTTGCCTTCTATTTGGCCCTATCAGACATTCCTTTCGCATCAGTATACTCAGTATTTTGATTTTGTATGCTGGGTTCCCTTCTATTTGAGGCATGGGGTGTCAAACTTATCGGGGATTCTGAATAGGGTACTCATATGTCAACCCTCCATCTGGAGGGATTGCTGTCTTACCCAATGCCTCTCCTGGTATTGAGATTTTTCAGGTGGAGGTTACATGTTTTTCAGGTTATCTGGCATTAATGCCCAGAAAGAAGAACTTTGATAGTTTCAGCTTTTTTGTTTCAAATAGAACAAAGAAAGATATCTTTGAAGATGACAAGATGAAGACAGCAAGAATTCAACATGTTAGATGACAGAAAAATGTGTATGTTGTCAGAGTTTCTAAATTCTAC